TTTTTTCCCCAGCCATTCAGTGTCCATAGGAAACCTATGGGGAGGAGCATTTAGAATTCTGGAGTGGGATATCACCCGTTTTATTACTTCTTAGCATTTAGGTTCAACTGTGAGGGAAGACAAGTTGAAAATAAATCAAGAGAAAATGGAGGTAGTGTTTCTACAAGGAAACTGGATTTAGGTACTGGGATTCAGCATGTTTGAGATGAGGTTGCCCTCCCTTGAAAAAAAGAGGTCTGCACTGCAAGAGTGTTGCTTCATCCTTAGCTGTCCCTGCATTTGTTGGCAGCCACACAGAGAACTCTTTACTAGCAGTAACACCTTTGAGATAAACAGTGGGAGAATCAGGATATCCTGTGCCTAACCCTTTTTTCTCCTCCGCCCCACCCAGATATTGCTTAAATAAGCTTTCTCTACCTGAGCAGCTTCTCTCTCCAGCCCAGGCTTCTTTAATAAGTGCTAACCAGTTAACAAGCTCAGCTCTGTGACCTTAATTAGTTGATCAGAACCCTCCCTGTGCTGTTGTTGGAAACTGACCAGAACTTAATCAGTTTCATAACTGAGGGCTTTTTCATCTCTTAAAGTGCACTAAGCCAACAGCCAGAGCTAGCACATTCCTCTCAATGTCTATTCTCTACTGTGTGCCTGTTTAATCACTTGTAATCTCTTGCTTCACAATAAATTTAAATAGAAATACTAATTTCGTTCTTGCTAATCATCCCAGCACCAGGGTGAGGATTCCAAAGGTTTGGGGAGTGGGGAAAAAGGGATATAAGATTTGCCCTGCAAACAAGGCTTCCTCATGGGTTGAATTCCATAGACCATCCTCGCTGTTTGGGCTCAGCCGGCTATTTGGGGATGGATTTATAATTTCTTAATAAAGTTTCTCTCTGGGGTTAGTTCTCGTTCTTTAATATCTGTCCTGGAAATCCTAAATTAAGCATTGATGCACAGGTTATCAGCAACACAGGATTTTCAAAGCTATCATTATAGACAGAAAAACAGCAATGCAAAAGGAGCTTCTAAGGGAACCTGCAAACCCAGATGAGGAGGATTGGAAACTGTCTGGGAAGGTACTTGTTCCTCTTTCTGGAGACAACATGAAAATGTTAGCCCTTCCTACTGGAACAAGTGGGAGAAGCAATTATTATTATTAATATTATTATTATTATTTTGATTTATATAGCCACCAATCTCACATATGCGGCTCTAGGCGTAATGCACGGTTTTTTCAGTCCTCTGCTGAAAAAGTACAGACCTGAACCTCCTTTGAGAAATTCATAAGCTGGTTATTTTTGACCAGAAAATAACTTCCCCACTTATTGGAACCCAGAGCAAAAGGGATCCCTTACCCATAGAGTCCACATTCTTAGCATTTTCCAGCATGACTTCTCTGTACAGAGTTTTTTGGTCAAAATCCAGCAGAGCCCACTCCTCCTCAGAGAAAAACACAGTTACATCTTCAAAGTACACGGGAACCTGAAGTACAAAAGCATTCTTTGTTAATGTACAGTTCCAGAAAGTATTTGCAAATTCTCTATCCTAACGACCAATTTTGCTGACTCTGTAGGACCTTCAGTCCCATTCAGTGGTAGCAAGCCTAATATAGTCAACTCCTGAGACAAGGTTAGGGTGCAACTCAGACTCCAATACTTCCTGCAAGGTTCCTTCATCGAGCAAGTATTGGGATACTCCTATATGACATTTTAACATTGGGAGACTGGTTAT